GGGAGAGAGAAGGGGTGGGAATAGCTGCCGGCATATGTGACTTTGGGTACATTACTCCTATTCTCTGGGCCTTGGTTTCCTCATCTGTAAAATGCGGGGTCTGGATTCAATGGCTCTTCCGACTGTAGCTCGGGGAGCCTATGAATGAGCCAATGAGGTCCTGTCCAACCCCTCTCCTCCCATTATGGATACTATTCAAATTCCTCCTCATTCTTAGATGCCCAGCTCCAGGCCCACCTCTTCCAAGAAGCTCAGTTAATGAAGCCTAAAGGATATAATGTATGTAAAGTGTTATATAAACCTTAAAGCTTCATATAAATGTCACCTGTCATTATTGGCTCCATTTTGCAGATGAGGAAATTGAGGCCCAAGAAGGGAAGTGACATGTTCAGGGTCACATAAGGTAGGAAATGGTCATGCCAGGACTTAACTCCAAGGGCCAAGTCCAGGGATGGGGCATCTGTGGCCCTCTAGGTCCTCAAGTGTGACCTTTTGACTGAATCCAAACTTCACAGAACAAATCCCCTTAATAAAAGGATTTGTTCTGTAAAACCTGTACTCAGTCAAAATGCCATACCCAAGGACCTAGAGGGCCACATGTGGCTTTGAGGCTGCAGGTTCCCCACCCTTGCCCTAGTCTCTTCCCACTATACTACCATGAAGGGAAATATTGATAATATTTTGTTATTTTTGTTGTTCAGATGCGTCCAATTCTTCATGACCCCATTTGGTATTTTCTTAGCAAAGATATTAGAGTGCTTTGCCATTTCCTCCATCCCATTTTACAGATGAGGAAACTGAGGCAAACAAGGTTAAGTGACTTGCCCAGGGTCACACCTCTAATAAATGTCTGAGGCTGTATTTGAACTCAGGAAGGTGAGTCTTCCTGACTCCAGACCCAGTGCTCTATCCACCATGTCAACTTTAGAGAATATAATTATAGGACATGCTAGGCAAGAAGAGAGCTTAGAGATCAGCTGACTGACTCCCTTGTTTTACAAGGGAGTTCATACCTCAGAAAGGGAAAGTGATTTATGTAAAGTCACACAGCAGGTTAGTGACAGAGCTGACATTAGAACCTGTGTCTTCTGGTTCACAGGCCAATGTTTTTTCCTGTCACGTAAAAGCCAGTCTTTTATTGGAAAATCTCTATTCACATGGAGAGATTTAATCCAAGCTCTGTGTGTCAATGGTTGTAACTGCCCTACTAAATGAAGTCACTATGTTTAGTGATGGATAAAGTGACAAATGGATCTAGCCTTAAAGTTGGAAGATCAAGAAAGGAAGAAGCACAGGTATTCTTGTAGATGGCATCAAATAGGGAAAGGGGGAACTGAAGTTCATACCTGAGTTCGAATCCTGACTTTGTCACTCACTAGTTGTGGGACCCTGAGCAAGCCCCTTCCTGACTCTGAATCAGGTAGGGTTGATTGATGGATAGATAAATTGTGTTGGAGAGTGAATAAATGACCGTGCCAATGGCAGCTTTGTTATCGAAGCCCAGCATGGAATCCTGGGGTTCTTCATGGAGGCGAGTTCCTAAGACAGATCAGAAGATCAAAGACAGAGCCCCACGATGGGAGGAACCAGAGATTCTTGGGAAGCCAAGATAATCATGTCTCTGAATTTCAAGAATCAATAGCAAAGACATCAAGAAAAAAGCAGTGCTAAAAATAAAAGAAAAAGGCAGGTGCTGAATCATGCAGCCACTGGCTGCAGGGGGGCCCAGAAGCCTCCTGGTTTCTCCATCCTGGTCACTCCTTAGTGAACACCAACCATGAAAAATGAGGAGGAGAAAGGGGGCTGTTTCTCCCCTGTCTGACATAGTGCCATATATGCTTTAAGAAAATCACTTAGAGAACTGAGTGGAGTGTGGAGAGGTAGGAGGCAGAGAGACCAATCAGGAAGCTCTGGGCAATGGTGGACCACCCACCCCACCACAGCCCCAGCAGCCTTCATTGGTGATTATCCTCTAAAAAGAGGCCACACTAGTTCTTGTGGCTTTGGAAACTCATGTCCCTGGGACTTTCCTTTACAACCTCACATTCTACAGAACGGAGAAATTTTACTTACAAAGAACCCACAGCAGGATGGGAAATGCTGAAAGAGAGAAAGGAGACAAAATAAGAGAGATAAATAGAGAGGGGAAAACCTAGCCTGGCAAAAGCAGCACTAATGGAGACAGGTCACAGTGTCTATCCTTTGGTTTCTATGCTCTGGTATGTCTAAAATAGTTGGATATTTCAGGATTGGGAACATTACAGATGAAAAGCCAGGTTCAGAGGTTTCACACTACTTGCACTTTGGGCTGTCATCAACTCTTGCCTGGACTATTGCCAATAGACTTGATTAGTCTTCCTGCCTTCAGTCTCTTCCCACCCTACCCAACTGCCACAGTGGCTCACTTAAAGCATATGTCCAACCATGGCAGTCAAGGAAGAAAGAGCCCCCTTTGTCACCCTCCTTTTGCTTTGTTGGTAGGAGCCCCAGTGTCTGCTAGGAAGGCTTATCCCCAACTCCCCAGCCGAGGCAATGATGAAGTTTCACCCTCCCTAGGCAGCTGATATTTCAATTGACCAACCCAAGCCCATTAGGAGAAATAAAGACTCTTGTAAATATTCTCTCTCCTTCCCAGAAGGGACCAAAACTTCAAAACTCAATTACATGAAATAAAAATTGATTACAGCCTATGTAATGAGTGGCTCTCCTCTGTTGTATCCCTACAAAATTTAATTAAAGCAGGCAGCAGTATCTTGAGATGATTGGGAATAAACATGTTGCTTTCAATCTGTGATTTTCTCCTTGATAATTATATGACATTAAGTTATTGAGCTGAGGAAAGCCTATTATGGTGGCCATCTGCCTAAATGTCATGTTGGGATCATTCAGATGCTCATCGGCAGCAATTCCATTTCTCATTCCAGATACATCAGAGCAATGCTGCTCCGGATTAATTTAGTAGCAACAGCAGCACTTCTTGTGGTGGTAAAGAACTGGAAACAAGGAGGTGCCCAGTGATTGGGCAATGGTTGGACAAACCATGGTCCAGGGATTTTAGAAGTGACTCAGAAGGCTTTAAGAAGTGACACACGGGACGAATTCAGAAAATGGGAAGGCTTTTATGAGTCAATGGGGTTGGGAACTGGGTCCTAGATTTTCTCATCTGGAAAAACTCCTGGAAAAGGAAACCCCTTCCATGGAGGCAGGTTGACACTTTCTCTACAACGTCCAGTCTTGGGGTTGTCCAGAGCATCCTCAGGTCACAAAGTGAGCCCCATCCCCAAATCATCTGCTCTCTCTGCATTTCAGGCTCATCACCTTTCTCTGGCAGGAGGTGAGTGTGTGTTTCCTCTTCATTCCTTTGGACTCATGGTTTATTAGTGCACTGATCAGTTCTAAAGCCCCTTAAAATTATTTTTCTCTGTAATGTTGTTATCATTGTGTGAGAGATGATCTCTGAGAATCTCTCAGGAATGAAGCCTCCTCAGGGAGTTAATTGCTTCTTGTTCTGTTGAAACACTTGCAGCCGGTTGACCTTGTAAAGAAACATGCTTTTCAACACATCTTGTACTTTATCAGACCTCCTCCTCCCTTTCTAAAACTATTTACTCTAAAAAGAAAAAGAAAACCTCCCGCCTTTCCTTGTCTCCAGGCAAGTTGTGAAAGTGTCTTTGTTCTTTGTTGCTGGGGTAGATTGCCTCCAATAGATTGTACTCCCAGATCTTGCACTAACGAGCCCTGAGGAGGGGGCTGGGGAGGGGATTGTGCTAGGACCTATACAACCTGTTGATCTGAACACACCTCCGCTATCTTCGGTTGGCGCCATTTTTTTGGTGCTCTGAGGGAGCCCTTTCTCGAGAAAGCCAATAAATGAATTGTTCTTTTTGCTAATATCTCTGAGTCTCCTATTCATTGATAAGGGTTTCTGTACCCCACACAACTGTATGAATTGTTCTAGTTCTGTTCATTTCAGTCTGTGTTAGTTTATAGAGGAATTCCCAGTTTCCTCTGACCCTTGTCCATTTGGTCTTTTCTCAAGGCACCATATTGTGTTACATTCACATACTACAATTTGTTTAGCCATTGACTGATAGGGCACTGCCTTGGGTTTCAGTTTAAGGCTACCCTCAAAAGAGCTGGTATAAACATTTTTGTCCGTATAGGACTTCTTCCTGTTTGATTTCCTTGGGGTGTATAGACTGGGGCCAAGGTAGTGAGGCCAAAGGGTATCTACAGTTTCTGCTTTATCTCCCATTTCCATGCCTTTGCACCTGCCACCCCCCCTATCTGAAATGCACTTGCTCTCCACCTCTACCTTGAGGAATCTGCTCTCCCTTCAGGACACAGCCCAGGAACCAGCTTCTACACGATGCCTTTCTTCATTCTCCCAGCTGCTAGGGCCCACCCTCCCAAACTAATGCCTATTTAACTATCTTGGAGCTATTTGTATTTATTCTCTTGATATTCATGCTACATATACTCATATGAATGAATGAATGAATGGGTAGATGAAAAACATTTATTAGGAGTCAGTCATTAAATGGGAAGCAAGGTGGGGCAGTGGATAGAGTATGGGGCCTGGAATCAGGAAGACTCCTTTTTCTGAGTTTAAATTTGGTCTCAGACACTAACTGTATGACCGTAGGCAAGTCATTTAACCCTGTTGGCCTCAGTTCCTCATCTGTAAAATGAGCTGGAGAAGGAAATGGCAAACTACTCTAGTATCTCTGCCAAGAAAACCCCAAATGGGACCACAAAGAGTCGGACAGGACTGAAATGACTGAACAAGTCATTAAACATTTGTTAAATCCCTACTCTGTGCTGGCACTGTGCTAAGTGCTGGAAAACCAAATACAAAAAAAGGAAGACAGCCCCTGCCCTCAAGGAGCGTATATTCTAATGGGGAGACAATGCATATTGGTAACAATAATAGCTCACATTTATATAGCTCTTTAAATTTGCAAAGCCCTTTACATGTATTATTTCATTTCAGCCTCACAATAACCCTGGGATGTAGGTGCTGTTATTAACCCCATTTTATATCTGAGGAAACTGATTCCAAGAGAGGCTAAGGGACTTACCTGAGGTCATATGGCAAATATGTATCTGAGGAAGAATTTGAATTCGGGTCTCCCTGACTTCCATTCTATTCACTGCACTGTTGCCTCCCCACATGGGGAATAGTGGTCAGGGAAGTCTACCTGCTAGAGCTTCCAACGTGGGTGGCTAGACAGTATGTCATTGGACTGAGCATGTCATCCAAGTAGCTGCTAAAGGTTCCGGAGTTTCCTGCTTGTGGGCTGTGGGAGGGAGTAGGGGTCTTCCTGCCTCTCTCCGCCCCTTGACTCAGATAGGGGATTCTAACGATGTTCCTATGCCTCCTTTTCCCCTTCCACAAGGCAGTGCTGCCTCTTGGTTTTGCTCTTCCTTTCTCAGAGTAGGATGAACAAAGGAGTAGAGGTTTGGCTTTTCTTGGAGGTCTTCAGAGGCTAAATGTCGGGTACGCGTTTTTGGGTACACTATAAAGGGGATTTTTTCAAGTATGGGGCATCTAGTCTAGTCTAGTATAACCCCATAAGGTCCCTTCCATCTCTCAAATTCTATGATTCCCTGACAGCTAAAATGTGCTTCATCCTTCCTCCATTTCCAAAGATAGTTTTTGGAGGGAGAGTATTTCAAAAAGCAAAATGCATTGATCAGATATCAGGATCTCAAGACCCAATCTCAATGTAGACTACCAGAGGCATTAAGTAAAGGTCTACATTCAACTTTTTATTTCTTTTGAAAAATTTATAAATATTTTTTACTTTTACATTAACTTTATTCCCAAATATATCCTTCCCTTCCCTTTGTAAGAAACGCTTTTTTATAAGAGGGGGAAAATTTTTTTTTCAGCAAAACTAATCAATGCACTAACCAATTACTGTATCTGAAATGTTCTACATCCATAGTACCCACACCTTGGCTGAGAAGAGAGGGAGGTGCCTGTTCCTGGCTCTTTTTCAAAGCCAATCTTTTCAATCCCACATTAAATTTTAATGGAGAAAATTAGCGCTTTGCTCTTAACGGTGGGGAAATTCCGCTTGACTGAATGATGGAAGGGGATCATTCTTACCACAGTCAAAGACCTCCTCCACAAAGTATGGGAGGTCATGGTGTAGGACATCACTGATAAAAACAACTTTGTAACCCAAGTCACCTCATCATTTTCTAGAATGGTAGTTGGATTTTATTGCCTCACCCCCCAAGTCATATGTGATTTCAGAATCCTTGCAATCTTAAATTTTATCCTATCATTTGAAATCTGACTCCACAGGACAGGCGTGCTGAATAGGTTTGAATGGGATCCAGTGCCAAGGGTAGGGAAAGGTAGGATAAAGTGACATCTGATGGGAAGAGCTACAAGTATCTGTGGAAAGAGCCCTGGACTTGGACTTATCCTGATCATGCTACTAAAGAGGTGTGTGACTGTGGCCAAGGTAAAGAGGTATGTGACTGTAGGCATCAGTTTCCTTCTCTGTAAATTTAGAGTTCAACTAGATGGCCTCTAAGATGTCTTCCAGCTATAGGTCCCTGTTCCTCTCCAATTCTCCGTTTCCTTATCTGGCTTCCTTCAAGTCTTAGCTAAAGCCTCACTTTCTGCAAGAATCCTCTCCCAGTCCTCCTTAATCTTAGAGCTTTTCCTTTGTATCCTCGGTGCTTATGGGCATACTCTCCTGTTGCAAAAGCTGCGCTCTCCAAGAGAGCTGAACTCTCAAAGGCCGTTGGTGAGTCATAATCCCTGCCCTAAATTCCTTGCTGACAAAGTAGTAGCAAAAGACGTCCAGGCAGCAGTTGATGTTGGAGAGGCACAAGGCGAGCTGCAGAGCAAAGCTGATGCCCCGCTTGGTGCCACAGTCTTGGATGAAGCCATTCCTTACCAGGAACTGCAGGAAGATGCACAGGTGCACAGGCAGGAAGGAGACCACAAAAACAGCCAGGCTGGCTGCGATGGAGTGGATGACATGAGCCCTCTTCCCAGCCCAAGCATTTAGCTCGTTCTGCTTGCCCAGTAGGGTGTGGATGTTGCTGAAGGAGCAGAAACACACTATGGCCATGGGAAGGAGGAATCCAAAGAACTCCAGGGGGACAATGGCTGGGACGCCCCAGGTATTATCAGACATGTTATGGAAGCATGTGGAGTTGACTGCTTCTTCATGAAATTGGTAGATGGGGATGGTGCCTATGCACACCAGTGCCCAGACGGAACAGCAGACTATGGAGATGTTCCTTGGGGACCGGATGTTTTTCACCCAGATCGGGTGCTTGATGGACACATAGCGGTCGAGGCTGATGAAGGTGATGGTGAAGACACTCCCATACATGCTGACAAAGTAGAGACACTCGGCCACAGTACAGAAGGAGGATGTATGGGCAGGGCCCTGGGAGAGCGCCATCTTGAAAGGAAGAGAGAGCACAAGCAGCAAGTCAAAGACCGCCAGGTTGATCATGTAAATGGAAGTGGCCCTATACTCCTCCTGCCACTTTCTCAGGAAGGAGGCAAAGCTGTAGATGGCTAGCAGGTTGAGGCATAGACCCAGGAAAAAAGTGGGGATGTGGACACCCAGCTGCACCATCTTCATCAGGCTGTCAATTTCTTTGAAGGAACAACCCTCGCTTTGGTTCCTCATGTTTTTGCCTGAAATACAAACAGCAGATAAGGCTAGGTTACCCATTATTTCACCCAGATGGCCATGCCTCAAGAAGGGGTGGCAACCAAACTGCTGTCACATTTTATTAAATAAGTGTGGTGCAGAGATAGAGGAGACCTCATTTTATGACTCACCTCCGTCACTTCTTGCCTGTGTGGCCACAGGAAAGTCAGTTAAACCCTCTCTGTTTGGTTTTCCTTAAGTGCAAAATGAGGAGGGTGGGGTCAGTGACCTTGAACATCCCTTGTTGCCCTCGGATCTTAAGAAGGATCATCCACCTTCACCTAGGAAACACACACACATATGTACATAACACATATGGACTTATGACTTGTCCAGGCTCTCACAGCTGGGTTTGAACCCAGGGTTCCCTGACTTTGAGAAAGATTCTATCCACTCTGCCGTGCTGTGTCTCAAACTAGCATGATGTTCTATCTAAAGTCACAGTAATCTCTTCAGTCAGGCTGGAGTCCAAGGCAAGGCTGTGATGAAGAGGGTGCTTGGCATTGGCATGAAATTAGGAGGGGCTGCAGATATCCATAGGACGAAGGCCATGGAATCATCACCTGGAGTCCACTATAAATTAATGTTATCATTCTCTGATTTGTCCCATCTTTTTTAATGGGGCCCAGATAGAAACTGTCCTGGGACAAGTGGCTCTCCTGCTAACATTCCTTTATAGTCACTATTTGGATGCATGACCTGTGGAGTTCTGTCTTAGGAAGATTCTGCACATCACCTGGCAAGACGAGGTACCAGACACCGAGCTCCTTTCTTGAGCTGAACCGCCATGCACTCAGGCTCTACTGCAGAGAGCATAACTGATGGGCCAGCCATGGTGTTCAAATGCCAAATGTATGTTTGCCTAAAAGACTATTTTATGGAGACCTCACACAAGGCAAGTGCTCACATAAAGGTCAGAAGAAGTGGTATGAGGACACTCTCAAGGTCTCTCTGAAGAACTTTGGAATCAATTGGGAGACTTGGGAGACAAGTCTGGCACAAGACCTCCCAGCCCGGTGTGCCTGCATCTAAGGAGACACTGTGCTCTATGAGCAGAACAGAATAGCTCAAAAGAAATGTGAGATGTGCAAATTTAGAGACATCTCCATTCCAAATGTTCATTTGGACTCATTTGTGCCCAATGTATGGTAGAGCTTTCCAAGCTCATTTTGGCTACAGTTGAACACACTGTACTTGACCCCAACATTATGATATCATTGGTCCTGTTTGAGCATGAAGGACAAGCAGCATATTTATTCCTCAGCAGACAATTGCTTTTTGAGGTTGAATTTTAAGGTGTTAGGACATAAGACTATCTTTGTAAGATTGTTATTATTATTATTATTATGCCATAGATAAGGCCTCTTCTGACCTGGGTATTTACTAGGAAGGTTTCCTGGAAGAACTGAGGCTTGAGCCGGACCTTGAAAGATGGGGAGGATTTGGTTAGGATGGAGGAGGGTAGCCATTTAACCAATCTGAAGTCCATTTCACAATCCATTGTTTAGCCCATGCCTCTCTAGTTCATCTACAGGAATAGCCTGAGAGACTTTGTTGAACACTTTGTTAAAATCTAGGTAAACTCCATCAACAACATCCTCCAATCAACCAGTCTAGAGAAGGAAAGGAGGTCACTCAGCATGAACTAGGCCAGTGGAAGCCGCCATACTGGCTCTTTTGTGATGTTTGCAACCTTTCCTCAATATTCACACTCAGTCATGTTGGCCAATTATGTCAGTGTCCTGGGCTTTCATTTGTCTGAATCTGGTGACTTGTACCCAGCAAGGTCACCTAGGTGCTTTCTTGCTCTTCCCTCCTCATCTTGAATTTCAATTCCCTATTAAGCTATTTTGGGTTCTTTACTTTCTAATTCAAATATTATTCTCTGTGAGAGAGAAAATAAAAATCAAATAAAGGTGGAGTGTTTCCAACTTCTCCCATGTCATTTTTTTATCACCAGCTCATGCACACTCAGCAGGGAGTCTATCCCTTACCTCAACCTCTCTTCTTTACTTCCCTTTGCATTTCTTGTCAGTCAGAGCTCATTCTGATTGTTGGCACTCCAGACACCATTGTTAGAGGACCATTCCACAGTTCTGCATTTTTCTTCTTACAACCCATGGCCTAGCACTCCCCATCCCTCAGCTCATAGGGGAAAAAGGCTCAGTTTTGGATGAGCTGACCCTAAAAATCAGTATCTTTTTGTCAGTACTGAAATGCACCCACGCAGTGTTGACTCTGGGAAACTTCTGACTATAGCTTATGTCTAAGCTTCCACAGATGTGTAAAAAGGGTCTCCAGCACCCATAAAAGCACCAAAGGCCATAAGTCCATTCATTGGGTAGAGAATAATCTTGATATCATCCCATGGATATCACAGAAAACATAAAGGACTCATAGAAACCTATACACAAATTCAGAGAGCATGTACAATGGCCCATGAATAATCAGTGTGACTCTTCTCTCCCTTATGGTCTAGCCTCAAACCTTTACAAGCTGTGTGACCCTGGGCAAGTCACTTAACTTCCGTCTGTTCGGTTTCATCCACTGTTAAAAGAGGGTAAAAATAGCCCCTTCCTCCCAGGGTTGTGAGGATCCAAGGAGACAGTATTTATAAAGCTTTAGCACAGGGCCTGGCACATAGTAGGAACTTAATAAAATCCTTATTTCCTTCCTTGTTTCCCCTTTCCCCTCCTGCCTTTTAGTAATATGCTGTAGTTTGTATTCCTGGAAAAAAGAAACACAATTTGAGGCTGCTAGACAATCCCGTGGCATTCCAGTGAATCTGTCTGTGACATTCCAGAGACCCTCTGAAGGCTTGGCCTCCCACTCAAGGGAAACATACTTGGGTCTGATAGATAGGCAGCCCCCTTCCCACTGAACCTACCCTGTCTCAATAACTGTCTCAGTGGAGGCAAGGTCCAGATCCCTTTCTCTTCCAAAATTTGGCTTTTGGTTCATGATGCTGCTCTGGCCAAAACCAGGATCCATGCACATAATCACCTCCTTTCTCTGGGAGGTGGTTATGGAAATTTCCTATCTTTGGATAGGTGACCCCTGTCCCAAAGCCCATCAGAATGGGACTCTCATCAGTGAAGATGAAAGCCCTGCTCTTTGTGAACGGTGGGGCAGAGTTGGCAAGACTTGAAATGCTCCAGACTTTTTGAGTCATCTTTGGGGACTTCCAGCCCTGAGGGAAGAAGGGAAAAGCCAGCCACAATTCAGGGTGCAGAAGGAAGAGTGTCTGGGAAGATGTTAGAGGAGCTGGCCATCTCCATCAGGTCAGATTCGTACACTAGCTAGTGACTTCAGGTAATTCCCTTTGGGTAAGATCCAGGACTTTCCCTCTTGGTTGAGCTGAGTTAGCTTCTCAGATTTTTGTTTTGCTATGATTTGGGTAAATGAGTTCCTTTGCATACATACATTATGTATGTTCCTCATGAAACTGGTGGGAATATTGTTCCTTGTGGAAAAGGTATCAAGCCTTGGATACAGAGCTTGGGGTCCCCCTTACTCCCAATAACAACGACAAAGTCATCAGACTATAGATTGAACCCAATCATACCCCCTAGACTAAGAATCTCTAAGGGAGCAGATAGATATCATTCTAGCCTGGTATGGGGGTGGTGGTGTCTGGCTCCAACTTTTTTTTTCTTTTTGGTGAGGCGATCAGGGTTAAGTGACTTGCCCAGGGTCACACAGCCAGTAAGTGTTAAGTGTCTGAGGCTGGATTTGAATGGCTCCAACTTCTTGCTTCCCTTCCTGGCAGAAATGAAAGTCTCCTTTGGAGAAAAGTGAGGAGAGAAGAGGGTTAGAGATGTCTATTCTGCCTCCTTTTGAGCCACACAAGGATAGCTCTCTACACAGATCTCCTACTCGACAGACAGAAGATTGCATCCCCAAATTCTTTTACTTGACCCCCAGCAACCTGGGATCATGTGCTACCTAAGCAAGCCCTCTTATCTGGCTAGAAGGCTAGATTCCAGAACTCTTGAATTTGGTGTTACTCATGAAGCAACTCTCCAAAAAAAAAATCTTGCTTTTTTTTTTTTTTAAACCGCAGTGTTGTATTCTAGGATCATACCGCCTAAGAAATCAATCCTTAGAGGAAGCTAAGATTCAGGAGTTACGCTGACCAAAAATTCCCCTCCAAAGTCACAGAGGTGAAAATCTGTCTACCACTGCCATATACCTATCATATACCTACCACAAAGCTACCATTAATGGCTGCTGGGGTTTTGGCGTGAGATGGAAAATCCTTCCTATCTGTTGCACTTTCAAGATCTCTCCAGAAGAGGGTAGCTATCAATTTGGGGAATGGCTGAACAACTTAATGGTAAATGAATGTGATGGAATACTATTGAGCTGTACAAAATGATGAAGAAATGATTTTAAGGAAATCTGGGATGACTTGATCCTTTTCTCTTCCAAAATTTGGCTTTTGGTTCATGATGCTTCTCTGTTCAAAACCAGGATCCATGCACACAATCACCTTGAAGAGTGTAGTGAGCAAAGCCAGAATAATTTATAGCATAATAATGATATTGGAAAGACAAAAAACTTTGAAAGGCTTAGGAGCTCTGGTCCATGCAGTAACCAACAATAATGCAGAATGCTACCTACTTCCTGATAGAAAGTTGAAGAACTGAGGGTACACATGAAAACTTGCTTTTTTAGACGTGGCCAATGTGGGAATTTGTTTGTGACTTTTGTTTTTCTTGCTTTCTAAATAGGGGAGGAGCGGAGGGAAGAGGGAAGACAGAAAAATCTCTCCAGTAGACAGGCAGAAGAGAAAAAGGTTTTAAAAGAACCCCAAAATCTTTAGTAGATTCCTTTTATAGGCCAGTTAGCTAGTGCAGAAGAAAGAGGGTTGGACTTCAGAGTCCAGAAGACCTGAATTCAAATTAAATAAATATTTTAAAGTGCCTACCATGTTCTAGGTGCAAGGTGCTAGGTGTTAGGTGTTAGGGGGATATTCTAAAAG